AAAATTTTCGTCTCTGATTTAGCCCGCAATTCTAAATCGATTTTAAAAAATCAAAAACTGTTCGAAAGATATTAGTTGGGAATCGACCTGATTAGTTTTTAGTAAAGAGCTGGCACAGGGTCTTGTAATTAACTGTTGAAAAAAAATGCCGATTTTTATGAAACTGTTTTCACGTTAGATATCATGGTCTTATAGAACATACTGAAATATTACAGCCCTACGGCAGGTTGTTCAATTTTAAAAAATCATCAAAGTTTAAAAAATTATCTAATATATTTAAAATTTATAGAGATATAAAAATGACAAAGTTTAGACCAATCAAAATTTTATAAAGTCTTAGACAACTAATAGAATTTTATTTCATATTTTCATTTTTTTTTTTGAAAAACTCGTTTTTGAAATTCTTGAAAATTACAAAATTACAAATGCTCGGATTCAATTGGAGTCAATATCAAATTTTAAAGTTAATATTCACAAAAATAGCACAATTTTCCATTTTGTAGTTGCAATATAAATAGTTTGAATTAAAAATCAATTATATTATTTATGTAGTCGATACAATTTGTGAATTTTACATAAAATAGTCAGATTTTATTGATAATTATTAACTTAAACGTATAAAACTTTTATGCCTATAATAATCCAAAAGCGATTGAGTATAGAAATCTTAATTTTAAAATTTTAATCAAATATATTTATAAAACTTCTCTAAAAAATAAATCGAAACGAAATTACTTTTCAAGCTTTTATTAACACAACAAAAAATATTATAAAAAAATAATGATCAAATGCTGTTTACAAAGAAGGTCATGACTAAATTATTAATGTAGTAAAATCATTCATATTTTTTTTTTCTAAAAAATCATTAATAATTAATGAATTGAAAAGGTCAATTTAATTATATCTAGACGTCTACTGTTAATATTTTCAAAAAGTCATAAATTAAATATATCCAGACAACAATCTCGATTTGAATGAATTTATTATCATTGTAACTTTAGCAAAAAGATCTAATGGTTCATCAATATTTATAATGTTTCATTTCATTGCTTATTTAGATTTTTAGCGGTTTGAATCAAAAGTGTAAAAATTTACTTAACATTTTTACACTATAATGCACTTCCATTTATAAATATACAATTCAAATATCTACGATTTACTTTGAAAAAATTATAAAATAAAATACATGTGTCGTGATCAATATCTATAAAATTTTCTCAACTTTTTCTCAACTCTTTTTCTTTCTCAGCGAAAAGTGTATCTACGAAAAATACGAAAAGTAGGTAGCCAAAAATTAGTACTCATTATAAAAATCAAATCTGTCCATTTGATGTGCCTAATAATATGTCTAACTAGTGGGGCGCATGGCATCGTGCCTTAAGGCAAATTGCTGGAACTTCCCGTACAAAAAAATATTTTTTTATTGAAAAGATTAACATTTTTTAAAAAAAATTACTCTAAAAAAAATAGATTTTTGAGGAACTATATACATTTTTGACAAAAACTTACTTTTTGTTGAAAAATTTATTTTGAAATATTTTGGAAATTCTGAACTTTTTTTCAAAGCAATCGTACTGCTTTAATGCATAGAGACTAAATATCGAAGCGCGTAAGCGCCGCGTCGCTGTCTAACGCATAAGCATTGGTACGGAACCCATAGGAATGTTAACAAAATGTATACTCATTGTTAAAATCTCTATAAAATATCTGATAATTTGATGTGCATATGTCTAATGTCTAATGATTATTGTTGACCGCCAAATGTTATTTTTTTTTACTTTTTTTACTAGATCTCTGAAACCGCTAGACCTAATTTCATAAAAATTTCATCAAATCTTCATCTTGATAATGCAAGTAAAATGTTTTTGAATTATTCAAATTGCTTCATCCCGATTCCCGAAATCGTCGACGAAAATTTGTATCTGAACACACACAAATGCACGCACACACACACATGCACACACACACATACACACACATACATCAATTTTCTCTAAGGTATGCCAATATATTCAGAAACCTTTGAAACGTAAAGTTATATAAAAATTTTCATTTTCGATTTTTGTGCGATTACTATAACTTACCCTACGGAAAGTTAATTATAAATAAATCAATTTATCACCTCCAGAACATTAACAATCGTCATTTCATTTCGAATCAAATTTCAAAAAAAAAAAATAGTTGCCAAATTTCCACAAAATTGAAAAAGTGCTCCAGCATAGTCACAGTCTAAACGCATTTGCAAATAATTCTGTGCGATATTTTCACTTATACTGTGCTCAGCTTGGTGGCATTTTCACATTTTTCAATAATTTTCACAAAATTGGAAAGTGCTCCAGTACACAAACAGTCTAAACGCACTTGGGTAAACATTTGTACCAGAGTGGCGCTTAGACTGTGCTTAGCTTGGGTGATTTTTTGAATTTTTAGTCCAAAATTACAAAAAAATTTTTTTGAAAAAAATTAGTATCAAAAAATTTTTTTTTCCAAAATCAATTGTTTTGTTGAAAAAAGCAGAAAGTTCTTTGAATCATTTAAATCGGACGCTTAGTTCTCTCAAAAAACAGCCATTTTTTTTAAATTTAGCTCTGTAACTCCGAAACCTCTGGGCCTACCTTTGCCAAAAACTAATCAGCACATCTCCCCTATCAATAGGAATCGAATGTTTTTTAAACCATTCAAATCGGTTGATCCGTTCTCTCAAAAATTCGCTTTCTATTTTTTGCACTCTTTGCTCCATATCTCCGTAACGGCTGGACCTGCCTTTGCCAAAACTAATCAGCACATCTCCCTATCAATAGGAATCGAATGTTTTTTAAACCATTCAAATCGGTTGATCCGTGCGCCCGAAAACGTGGACGAAAAAAAGCGGACATACAAACACACACACACACACACACACACACACCACACACATCCATTTTTTCTGAAGTATGCCAAAATGTTCAAAAACCTTCAAAACGTCGAGAAATGTAAAAATTTTTGATTTCGATTTTTGACGATTACTATAACTTACCCTACGGGAAGTTAATAATCATTAATATCGCCAAAAATCTATTTTTTGTGATTTTTTTCTGTGTATCCAAAACTTCTGAACCTGTCTTTCCTAAATTGTGTTAAATTCTACATTCCATCAAGACAATTAAAATCATTCAAATCTGTTAATCCGTGATCTTGAAATTGTTGACAAAAATTTGTATCCGCACACGCACACACACACACATCCATTTTTTCCAAAGTATGCCAAAATGTTCAGAAATCTTTGAAACGTAAAGATATGCAAAAAATTTCATTTTTGATTTTTTTTAAGATACTATAACTCACCCTACAAAAAAATTGAAATTTTAGTGACTCAAACCACACGTGTTTGTAAAATTAGTGTTTTTACGATTTACCCCGTTGTCCTCTATGAAGCAAAGAGCTCTGTCAAAGAGCCCACGCCTTCTATTAATAGATTTACTGCGTTCGGTATGAAATAAATAGGTTTGTGGATGTATTGGCATTCGTATTATCGGTCAGATGAATAAAAAAAAATCCAGATACACATGGCAGAAAAATTCCCTTATAGGCGGAAGTTATTCTCTGAGGAAATTTCCATACAAAAATATGTATATTTATATCTAAGTTATTTACTAAACGTGACGAATGTCATTTGATTTTATTAACTAAGTGTCTTCAGTATGGTAACAGACTCATGTTATGGCAAGGCTATGTTATGAAGAACTTTCTATACTAAATATTGACAAAAGCCATGCGGTTGCTCTGCAGCCACGCGTATTTCTCAGGTCAGATAGAAAACCTTCCGTAGAAACCCACACAAATGTCAAAACAACGATGTTAGATAACAGGGTGTTTCTGATTCGGCTAACACATGACATTTTGATACTATTCAGTATGATTTAGTAGCATAATGTTTGGAAGTTAAAGTGTAACATGGGGTCCCTCAATCATATATGAATAAAATATTTTATATTGGCTTTATTAAAGAAAAAGTGAT